CATGGCGTATCGTGGAGAATTCGTCATTCTATGCCTATAACTGACTACTTATGTTAGCAAACACTATCCCTAGTGTAGAGAGCTACATATGTTTACAGAATAATTATTAACAAATATACACATGGAAAGAAGTATCGCAACGCCTATGATTTTTAACTCCCATATAGCCACGTTCAATAGGTGTGGCCGTTATTAAGCAAACACCAAGTTTCAGTAAACTGTTCTTACAGTTTGATAACTTTGAAAATAAATTGATTTCATGCTTGACAAGCAAAGATGAGGTCTCCTCAACTGACAACTGATCAAAGATGGCACACTAATGGTATGCGGAATACTGGCATGTCATTGAGGGTTATTGCCTGACACCAGAAAGCGCCAGCAGGCCACAACACATCACCTCACTATTGGCATTAAGGGCCGCCAGCCTTGAGGTCGACACTTCCCAAACAGGATACAACCCTTCTCAGAATAAGACTCAGACTTCATCTGTTCATTTCAAGTACCATGTTAAAACAGGAAAATGCACAACTGACTATCTTTGAGCAAGTAGCGTTGGCAAGGTTTCATTGATGGTGTGGTGGTATCTCTCAAATCACTGTAATCTTGTGGTTTAAAAATATTTATTTCATGAAAAAGCAAAGACAGAATTTTCATGATCTGGATTGGTCAACAAGCTCGAAAGAACTTATATGAAGACCGCTCCAATATACATAGATATATGAAACAGTATCATGACAAGAAAAGATGCTATCTAAAATGAAAGTAGATGGTATGACAAGTAGTCGGAAACTTAAAATCATGATGGTTGTATGCATTCATGGCATCTGCAGTCGGGATCCATAGTAGTATAGCTTTGAGAATTATAGGTTTTAGTGTATGACTTGCTCAGTTAAAGCGCCTAGTTTCAATCATAAATAGATGGACTGATTTTAAGATATGTGATTGAATTTGTGGGTCCATGGAAGACGTTCCGTATAAGATTGTTTCTAATGAAAAGCCATTGGTATAATAAAATTTATTTATTCTTTCAGCATCAAATCTTGGACATACAAAGAAATAATGACGTGCATCTTCAGTAGGGTGGCCACACAAACAATCTGCTCTCTCTGATATATGTCTGTTGTGTTTGTCAGCGTTGAGATCGCTACATCCTAACCTTAAGGTACAGTGGAGGATTTGACAAACTCTTGAACCTATATTTGGATCGAAATGAATGTCTTTAGCTCTATGACTTAAAGTAGATTTAAAATCATTGATGTCTGTAAGAGGTTTAATATTTTGCGGTAAAGCATTCCATAAACTTACAGCGTCCGGTAGAAATGAATTGTCATATAGAGCAAATGCGATGCGTTACGTAAGGGATAGTTACTGACTTGAGAGACGAAGGGAGGGACGAGTTCGTTTAGATAGTGGGGTAATCTGTTACGATACATTTTGAAAAATGTGATTAGTTTAGCTATTCTTCTTCTTTCGCGAAGAGAAACAGAGGATGTTTTAGCGTAGATTTTATCGTGACTGGTGCCGCGAACAGCTCCACATATCGTACGTAACGCGTCTAAGTGCAATTGTCATAAATATGGCTTTAGTAGTCAAAGATCGGAAGTATAAACGACGAATACATACGATTCTGGGTGTTTGTCGTTAGTTGATATTTAAGGCTTCTTAAGCAATATATCATGGGGCTGACTCTCTTAACGATATCGTTTATATGTATATCCCATGTACAATCGTTTTGAAGAGTTATACCTAAATGTTTATGGCTCAAAGTTTCTTCAATTCGAACGTCGTTGAAAAACAAGCTTGGGTGAGGATTTGAATTTGATTTCCTACTGAATAAGACTGTTTTAGTTTTAGATGGGTTGAAATCGATTTTCCAGGTTTTTGCCCAGTTTGCTATTTTTAGTAGATCATTATTGAGACTAAACGCCTCTACGTAAGGGTCATCTATTATTACATAGATAGAAGTATCATCTGCAAATAATCGTATATTACTGTCACTGCCTTCAGCAATATCATTTATGTAGACCAAAAACAGAAGTGGTCCTAGAACAGAACCCTGCGGGACGCCAGCTTTTACCGGTTTAATATTAGAACTATAACCATTTATGACTACACGCTGGGATCGATATTCTAAATAACTTTTAAACCATTGTAATAGTGAACCATCGATTCCACATGATTTTAGCTTTTGCACGAGACCTTTGTGCCATACTCGATCAAAAGCTTTGCTGATATCGCAAAATACTTCACGTATTTCCTTACCTTCGTCCATTGCCTTGGCTATGAAATAATACAAATATGTCAACTGATTCACGCAAGAGTCCCCCTGGGATGAAACCTGACTGTAAATTGGATAAGATGTTATTGCCTCTAAGATAGTTGAAAACATGTTTGAATATACATCGCTCAAATATTTTAGATACACAACTAGTTAAGGCTACTTGTCTGTAATTTGTACAATCATTTACACTTCCCTTTTTGTGAATCGGTATAACGCTTGCTTCTTTCCAAACTGCCGGGAATACTCGTTGTTGAAGTGATAGATTAAAAAGTCCCGTTAAAAGGGGGTGAAATACTGACAGCGATTAATTTAAGAATTCTATTTCCAATGCCGTCGGGGCTGGTTGCTTTCACAGCATTAACACTCATTAAGATATCATATACTTCACTGTTAATAAGATTAATTTCTGATAGACTATTGATTGTCTTTATATTGGTATTGGTGGGTGTTGAATCCGGATTTTCTACTCGCGACTGCAGAGTGAAATAATCATTTAGAGAATCAGTTATATCTTGTAAATCATCGCTTACGAAATCATTGAAAATCAACGGCGGAAAAATATAGTTGTTTTTATTTCTCTTCACGTAATCATTGACTAATTTCCACCAACATTTGTCCGTAGTGGATCGATTTATCGTTTCATCTAGTTTATTATAATCTTGTAATCTTTCCCTTGTGACTACAGAAATAAATCTCAATGGACAACGAAACAACACTGACATCCTAGACAGGGTTGTTGTTCCACATTTCAATGACCATTTTCAGAACTTAAAGCTCGTCTTCACGGACGATAATTCTAGACCATATCGTTCACGTGCCGTTGGTGATTTCTTATGTCAAGACCCCGAGCAACACTACCTTGCCCCCCAGAAGTCCAGATCTCAATTCCATAGAGACGTTTGGGACATTATGGGTCGCAGATTACGCCAGAGACATCCTCCAATAACAATATGCTACTGCCTGGAACAAGCCTTCCATCAAGACTGGCACGCAATGCCTCAGTGTGAGATTCCACGTCTGATACTATCAGTGATTGTTTACAGGTCGCGGTCATATTGCTGTTTAAGACTTTAAAAACAAACTAACACAGACGCAAAAACAATTGAAAAAAACACGTTTACCATGGTTATAAATAAGTGAATGGCTGCTGTAATTTTAATTTCGTCGATTAAGTCGATCACCAGCAAACAAACAAATAAATGTCAAAATGTCATAATGCGCATCATACACGGTGTAATTATGCAGAGTGTCAACATTCGCCTTCAGGAAGTCATTCTTTATATGGTGTCACTCCCAAAATAGGGCATTGTCGTGTTTGCGCTGTGGTAGAATTATGTATGACAGGAAATCTCTTACTGTTCATTGTCTATTTTTCCTCGGGCCCATAAAGCACGCCTCCAGTACAGACACCTTCCTGTGATACAAATCTCGCCTCAACGTCAACATCTTCAACGACCTCGTCAGTTTCACCATAATTCTGATATTAATTTCAAAACTGCAGAAACAACATGCATTCGCACAATAGCACATACCTGCTCCCAGCGGTTGTCAACTAAACAAACCAAGAATCAATTTCTCTGTGTATGGAATACAATACTATACCACCAGGTTGTCCATGACATGAAGGGTATAACACTGCTGGCAACACGTCTCAAGTGTTGTGTAATCACAACGAGATAATATGTCCGCTGGTGTAATAGCATGTGAACGTCGGTGATAAATTGAAGTGTATAGTACAACCCGGTTACAGTGCCACCATTCTGGTGTAATTGCATGTGAACGTCGGTGATAAAGTGAAGTGTACAGTACAACCTGGTTACAGTGCCACCATTGTGGTGTAACTGCATGTCAACGTCACTGATAACTGAAGTGTACAGTACAACCTGGTTACAATGTCACCTTTTGTACATCGAAAAATGTAGGTAGGAAGATAGACCCCAATGACAAACTGTAAAATGGTTATAAGAACCAAAACGTACTCCATTCTAACTATATGTATTTATTTAAACACTATTTATTCAATTTACATATAAATGCGATATATATAACAGAAAAACGTAAATGTTTTTCATATGAACTTCAAAATAAATATAGTTATCATGAATTTGAATCATGCAAGTTTCAATGCATACTTATAAAGTCATCTCTTGACTTTAAGGTCGTGATTCACCATACGTAGTCTACCTTCACGGCGAACAATGTGATTTGTTAGCGGTATTTTCAAGGAGGATGATACTAATAATCATTTAATGTGGTCGGTACATAATTATATTTTAGCCGAGTAATGCTCATAAAAACTTATACGTTTACCATATATTTACAGCAAGGCAGCACTGATGACTTGTCTCAGGCCGGTCGTCCAGAGCCACGTTACGGCAAGACAACTGTAACTGGTTGGTGCATATACCAAACTACGGCATTGACTGCTCCATCAGCTCTGGGGCGGAGACGAATTTGTGGCAGAACCGTACGCAACTGCGTGAGAGAGCATGCGTTCCCAACGGTTTTGTTTCCAAGTCACTATCAGACACGCCCATCTTTGTATGCACCGCATCTGGGATTCAGACAAGACTGGAACGGTATTTGGTAGGGTGCTGTAGGAGACTCATCATGGCTGCATGCCTTTCCAGACCTTCTCCCACAGAACATGTCTGGGATGAAACTTGTACTGATAATAAAACACCCACCAGGACTACACTCGGAGTGACGGACAGAAGGGTATGCTTGGGGTGAGTTTCATTGTAATCATTAACATTCTAAATGTTGGACTGATGTTTCGCATCTCTGTATCCAATAGTTCGCATATGTTTGTGATGTAAGATTTGCAATATAATGAACAATGATGGGTGACTGTCCATGCAGGTGGAATGAAGATAGAGTGTGTTACCTACTGTCGGCGCTGTCTTCACATTGCTTGTTTGCTTTTACAATTGTCCTTCAGTGTCTTAAATAGAGACAGGAGATCTCTATACAAAGATCCCGCATCTAACACAAATATCCCGACAAACAGGCTTGAGATGACCGCTATACCAACATAACCCATACTGACTGCCGACTGCCGATGGTCGGGCGCACTGGTTTTCTTCCTGATGGCTTGTGAAACTGTGTCCTTGTCCACAGTCAGTTCTTTCTTGATGCTCTCAACGACCTGTGTCAGGCTCTCCGAGGCGATGTCAGTCTTCCACGGAGAACACTTACATGTACAACGCTCCTCTATCGTTTGCTCGGAATGACTTATAACAGGGGTAGATGGTGCAACTGCAACATTAGCATGAGATGACTCGGGTGTTTCTGTAGACCAGTAGAGGGTGCTCGACGTCTCTAGTTGTGCTGAAGCATAGGGAAGAAACGTTGACGGCGATGTTAACATGGATACTTCTACACTTGAAGAGTTAGGGGATACAGGAGACTCGCTGGGAGAACTACCAAGAGAGGAGGTGGGCGGCATTATATCGACAGAGGATGTAGGCGGATCTGTGAAGGTGGATAAAACAAATTGCTCCTCAGAGGAAACAGATGGGTTCGTTAGGGTAGATGTGGCAATACCTTCGGTGGAAATAGGGGTTACAAAAGAAGCAGACGGGTTCATGACAATTGATGTGGCAATATCTGCGGAGGAGACGGAGGGCACCAAATGGTCTACAGAGGAAGCAGACGGGTTCATGAAGGTTGATGTGATTATATCTTCTGAGGTGGATTGTATTACGAGTTGAGATGAGTACTCTGAAAGAAAAATATAAATAGTATAAGGTATGTTTCATTTACCTAGGCAGAAGAGTGTCACTTACAAAACATGTAAGGTTTTCAGTACACAGACTACACACATCAACTTGATACTTGTTCACAGTTCACCAAACAAATAACTAGTGTAGTATGTGTGCAACGATGAATCTATTTTAGAAGTGAGGCAATTCACATGACTACCAAACTTTGTTTATTCTCCCCGGGATGACAATGTTTCTACATTATCTCGTGTAATGTTGTTGTGCCACGGTGCTACCCCTGGGACGCCGGGAACCTATGGTGGTGGGTTTGAATCCCTGGTGATCATGTTTCTAGGTTTGTCAGCACCACGCCCGTGCTCGTGGGTTTCACCAGAAGTGCTTAACATCCCAAGATTGGCATCATCACGGTTCTCCATCCAGCACTGAGCATGTTACATTCCGTATGTTGAGTTTATTACGTAACAATCCCAAGTATATGCTCGCAACTGATGCTACTTCCTAACAGTTGTCCCTGTGTGCCAACTCTTCTCTTCTTCCATATCTATACATTGGAAGCATATAAGCAATTTAGATCCCTAGTTAGATACTTCGTGTGCCTTGACAACATGTGCCTACTGTATAGATTTCCTGGTTAGGTACTCCCTGTATCTTGATAACATACATGCACTACGGTTCCCTTGCTAGATACGCCATGTACCTTGACAACATGAACTGCACTGAACGATACTGAATAGTTTGTCACATTTGTTTTACTTTGATGAAACCTCATCAATTATATTGTTAGCAGGAATAAATCAACTGTTTTACGCAATCTGAATTAGTCCAGCAATGATGAAGCAGGACGTTCATCGTGACGGTGATTCTGACAAACCAGTTGACATATATATGTGTACGATGCTGTGATTCTAACCAATGGTCAGCGAAACCTATGGCCGCAAAGTCACTGAAGGTCCGCCCTACCCACCTTCCAGACTTGTCACTGGGAGATCCACAGATGCCCCAGCTATGACGGACGTTGGCATTATCGATGATGATGCTACAACGTAATTATTGGAAACACTGTTATTTTAACTTTCATTCCTCTAAATGCTTCTAGATATACAGAGACAAACATTACATGAAAACCGTTTTCTACTAAAGTGTCTTGTTATTGTGGGGTTCATATCACCGACGAGTCACACAACAACACAGATAAGACAGTTAACAGTCACGTTTTATCTGTACGGCTGTAGAAACTATTGCTTCTTTTATGATGATGCAAGTCTATTCACGTCATTACTTTTCGACTCTTACTGGTTCTGGATATGTAAATACAGCATGCAGTTTTGTAGAGAGACATTGACATAGACAGACACACTTCACGTACCGACAGCAGCCTCCTTACAGTCCTCGTCAAACATCCCATCATAGTCTCCATCTGCAGGTAAACGTACATACACTAACCTTTGCTGAACCATTACCCTTAACTGTGGGTTAAAGGGATAATTCATATGGAAATATCAAGTATACATTTATAACGCTTTATGATGTAAGATGTATCACGTGTATGGATAGATAAATAGAGAATACTACTACATTACATACGAATTATACGAAACGAGTGTCCTTCCTATGGTATCTGACCGAGCGAAAGCGAGTGTCCTTCCTATGGTATCTGACCGAGCGAAAGCGAGGTCAGATAACATAGGAAGGTCACGAGTTTCGTATAATTCGCATGTAATGAGACCGAGTGTGGTATTTTATTTATTACCCACTTCTTAGATGCATTAAATTGACAAAATAGCGTAATTTCGTTATTTTTTGGTTTCAAACCGAAACCGGTTTCATAAAGAGGTTGTGGAAGAATTTTGTACTGTAGTACAATATTTGCATGACGTCACGTTGTAATGACGTCACTGTCTTGGCAACCGACGTCACGATGCACGTCAGTTGTCATCGCCTCGTACCATCTTCTACAGTAAACTACTCCGTAGCACCCCGTTTCTTGGTTTGCAATGGCATCATTCGGCTAACATCACAGGTGGAAACATTGCGTTTATGTTTTTCGACGGATATAATGTCTCAGTTCGACTCACAATTAAACAGCGACACGGCAACGCTCGCAATGTTTACATTCCCACAATTCATTTAAATTGTAGAATGAATAAATTCACGTGTTTGTTAAGAATGAAAAAATAGTTACGTCAGAATGTGACCTAATTGAGAGGTCATCGGTTATCCAATCAAATTGTTATAATCTCAGGTCAAGTCGTTACGACACAGGTCAACGCGATACGACACTCGTGTGACGTACGAGATTAGTATGCATCTACCCATACGTTGACCACGTGGGTAATAAATGATAGTATGTCACACTTATAGTTGTTTTCCTGATGTACCAGATAGTCGATGTTACATCAACTCATCAGTGTTGTTACATCTTCAGTGTTTGATGCTACATCAACTCATCGGTGTTGTTACATCATCAGTGTTTGATGCTACATCAATCATCAGTGTTGTTACATCATCAATGTTTGATGCTACATCAAGTCATCAGTGTTGTTACATCATCAGTGTTTGATGCTATATCAACTGATCGGTGTTGTTACGTCATCAGTGTTTGATGCTATATCAACTGATCGGTGTTGTTACGTCATCAGTGTTTGATGCTACATCAACTCATCATCAGTGTGTTGTTACGTCATCAGTGTTTGATGCTCAACTCATCAACTCATCGGTGTTGTTACGTCATCAGTGTTTGATGCTATATCAACTGATCGGTGTTGTTACGTCATCAGTGTTTGATGCTACATCAACTCATCAGTGTTGTTACGTCATCAGTGTTTGATGCTACATCAACTCATCGGTGTTGTTACGTCATCAGTGTTTGATGCTATCATCAACTCATCGGTGTTGTTACGTCATCAGTGTTTGATGCTATATCAACTGATCGGTGTTGTTACGTCATCAGTGTTTGATGCTATATCAACTGATCGGTGTTGTTACGTCATCAGTGTTTGATGCTACATCAATCATCAGTGTTGTTACGTCATCAGTGTTTGATGCTACATCAAGTCATCAGTGTTGTTACATCATCAGTGTTTGATGCTACATCAACTCATCAGTGTTGTTACATCATCAGTGTTTGATGCTACATCAACTCATCGGTGTTGTTACATCATCAGTGTTTGATGCTACATCAACTCATCAGTGTTGTTATATCAGTGTTTGATGCTACATCAACTCATCAGTGTTGTTACATCATCAGTGTTTGATGCTACATCAACTCATCAGTGTTGTTACATCATCAGTGTTTGATGCTACATCAACTCATCGGTGTTGTTACATCATCAGTGTTTGATGCTACATCAGCTCATCAGTGTTGTTACATCATCAGTGTTTGATGCTACATCAGCTCATCAGTGTTGTTACGTCATCAGTGTTTGATGCTACATCAACTCATCAGTGTTGTTACGTCATCAGTGTTTGATGCTACATCAACTCATCAGTGTTGTTACATCATCAGTGTTTGATGCTACATCAACTCATCAGTGTTGTTACATCATCAGTGTTTGATGCTACATCAACTCATCAGTGTTGTTACGTCATCAGTGTTTGATGCTACATCAGCTCATCGGTGTTGTTACGTCATCAGTGTTTGATGCTACATCAACTCATCGGTGTTGTTACATCATCATCAGTGTTTGATGCTACATCAACTCATCAGTGTTGTTATATCATCAGTGTTTGATGCTACATCAACTCATCAGTGTGTTGATGCTACAACTCATCAGTGTTTGATGCTACATCAACTCATCAGTGTTGTTACATCATCAGTGTTTGATGCTACATCAACTCATCAGTGTTGTTACATCATCAGTGTTTGATGCTACATCAACTCATCAGTGTTGTTACATCATCAGTGTTTGATGCTACATCAACTCATCAGTGTTGTTACATCATCAGTGTTTGATGCTACATCAACTCATCAGTGTTGTTACATCATCAGTGTTTACTCATCATGTTACATCAGTGTTGTTAAGTCATCAGTGTTGTTATATTATCATTGTTTGATGCTACATCAACTCATCAGTGTTGTTACATCATCAGTGTTTGATGCTACATCAAGTCATAATCCCTGTTCCTCACACAGGCCAGCATGTAAACATGTGGATGTTATAATACACATATGCCCCTATTGTTACTATGGCAACATACCCTCTGAGATGCCAACTGTGCAGTTCTCTTCGTCAACTAATCCGTCACAGTCGTTGTCGATGCTGTCTCCAGGAACCGACTGCGTCAATACACACGGCTAAAACATAACAGAGTGTGTATAACTATAGAACCTATTTGAAGCGGTACAAGTGTAGTTCAGATGTGCCCAGTTTAGATTATATCTGTTAAGGTGGTCACTCAATAATGCCTTGCTGAAATTGGATTGGATTAGATCCAAACCCAGGTTCATCCTAGATGCTGTTGGATACGTTCTATATTCGACCCCTGTAAATGGAACATATGTGTTACAAGTAACTGGTTTGTAGACTAGTTCTGTAGTACAGCGATGGTTGCAAGCTGTGTATGAGAAACACTAAGCAAATACCTGATTGATTGCATCAAGTCTGAAGGCCAGGGGGAATGAGAAGGTCCCGGGTGCAAATTTAGCCATTCTGGTACCAATATGACCGCCTATGGTGGAATTAGTTGACCCAGTAATATTATATGTATCTCCTTTGACAAACTCCGCAGAGGAAGTGGCTAACATTATAGTTCCGGGAAGGTTTTCCCAGCTTGTAAAGGCATTGTCGTTGTATGTGACAGTAGAAGTATGTGACTGGTTGGTGATCACCAGGATGTTTACAGTGTCAACATTCGTTGAAGGTATGAACAGATGGTCGCCATTCGAGTATTGCTCCACTGGGACGACTAGCACCATCCCTCCGTCGATCGTAATGCTATTTTCAACCATAAATTGTATGACCATGATTGGTTTGTCACTTTGTATAGTGCCTTTATCCAGCAGCTGAATGTCCTGGAACATCCCTTCAAATGTAAAGCCATAAGGAGTGGAGGCCCCATCCATGTCTACAGTAACCAGCGTATCGTCTTGTGACGCAATGATTCTAATGTTATCTCTACACTTGGGACATACAGTCAGCCGACCAGGCGTTTGGACAACCGCCACTGACTTCCCAAGAGCTTGAAGAGGCATCAGTTGCTCCACGACCATGTCTTTATTTGAAGGTCCCATCACCTTGGTAAACTGGCCCCCTGTTATAATGGCTACTGGCTTGCTTGCTGTAATCTTCGTTCCAGTCATGTCGACTGTACTGAGAACTTGAGCGGATTCGTATAGAGCCAGACCGATAACAATAGTATCCCCATGTCTATATTCCGCTCCACCATACATAATAGCGTGACTGACGTTCACAAGCTTTAGTCGAACTGTAACGGTAGTGTCTGGATGAACTGCAGAGATGTCAATGAAGCACATGTTGTCTTCGCAATAAGTTACAGCAATGTACTCTCTACCAAGCCCGTCGGTGGGCAGAGCTCTGAAGGCACCCCCAGACAAATCTGGAGATGGGTCTGCCGACAGAATCATCAGTGATACTTCTTCCGATGCTTCCAGTAGCATGGTGTTATTGGATGCACTTGATTCATTCACTTGCAAGGAGTAAGGGACGTCAAAGCTGCGGGTGTTCCCTGCAACACAACGCCATGGTTTGATGGATATTGACAACGAATGCAGAGTAACTGAAATGCTGAAAACCACCATTAACTCTGACGATAGCGTTGTGCCTTTCATCAGGTCATCATTGAAAAACGAGGTAAGTAGAGTCAATACAAGCAAACTTATATAATAACTATTATATGAGGTTTAAATAGTTAAAACTCTCTATTTAAACACATAACAATCTACACAGTTGTTCACCAACATATTAAGCGTCATATGCTGCCGACTCAAGCTCACTTTACCCGGGAGTGTATGACAACGAACCTGATAGAGTCTGTGTGATGTTGATTTGTCCTGGTAGATTGGGTGTCTGCAACGTGACGACGACACTGGGTTGAGAGAAGTACACTGCCACAGTCAGAGCAGGATCAGGGGTGTGGTAGGGAAACACGAACACAAACCTGGTTCCATGGACATCTCTCTCACCTGCACAAACACAACGTTACAACAAGATCATTTGGAAGACAGACCTGGCCATCGTTTCAAATATTTACGATTAAGCATAAACCTTTCCAAGAATATATCATCCAAGATATATGTATACAAACTCACTTACCTGACACAATGACAGAACAATCTTTCCCAGCATAATCTGTAAGGTAAGTGATAGATACAGTCGTAACTTGTCGGCCGGTATATAAACATAGTAGTCAATATATATACATAGCTAATGCGGGATACAGACACAGTGTGCGATACAGATCTAATGGGACGTACATATATAATATGCAGTGTGGGGTTTTCATACAAAGCAGTAAAAAACAGTAAACAGCAGTTTACCACGCACCCGTCAGCGTGCAGCTGTCTTCGTCGGCCTGACCGTCGCAGTCATTATCTACCTCGTCTCCTATTGACATCACTGTCGGGGTGCACGGCTGTGGAATATAGGCAGGGTGAGGAGGCAATACTGATTCAGTGAATCACTTTATAACGTAAATGTACCCAACAGGCCGTGTCTCTATTTGTCAACTTATCGTTGATGATTTCCTCTTGGTATGGAAAATTATGTATCAACTATACATAGACATGAGCATTATTAAGCACCATCTGAGCACAATAGCATTTTTTAAACATTTAGTCCAAACAGGCAATCACATGATGACATACTGTAATACACATGTAAAGCATGTGCTTCACACAGTGTCTCTAAAGCTATGGCCACAAGTCCACTTGATGCGCTAACCACATTTGGGATATGTTTTTCATAACTGCAGTGTGTGCACTTTAATTTGTGGAGCAAAGGATCATCCATGATCTGGGGGACCGACTCCTAATTCGTCTGGCAAGATGCAATCTCACAACCCAGAAGTATTGTGCCTGCAGTGAAGAGTGGGATTCCAACTCTCCACCAGTACCATCAGGAGGAGGACTGCTGGTGTTGGAACACGTTGTCCAACTCCCCACCAGTACCATCAGGAGGAGGGCTGCGGACTGCTAGCCTGGGGATACGTCGTCCAACTCTCCACCAGTACCATCAGGAGGAGGGCTGCGGACTGCTGGCCTGGGGACACGTCGTCCAACTCTCCACCAGTACCATCAGGAGGAGGGCTGCGGACTGCTGGCCTGGGGACACGTCGTCCAACTCTCCACCAGTACCATCAGGAGGAGGGCTGCGGACTGCTGGCCTGGGGACACGTTGTCCAACTCTCCACCAATACCATCAGGAGGAGGGCTGCGGACTGCTGGCCTGGGGATACGTCGTTCAACTCTCCACCAGTACCATCAGGAGGAGGACTGCGGACTGCTGGTGTGAGGACACGTTGTCCAACTCTCCACCAGGACAATCAGGAGGAGGGCTGCGGACTGCTGGTGTGAGGACACGTTGTCCAACTCTCCACCAGAACCATCAGGAGGAGGGCTGCGGACTGCTGGCCTGGGGATACGTCGTCCAACTCTCCAACAGTACCATCAGGAGGAGGACTGTGGACTGCTGGTGTGAGGACACGTTGTCCAACTCTCCACCAGGACCATCAGGAGGAGGGCTGCGGACTGCTAGCCTGGGGATACGTCGTCCAACTCTCCACCAGTACCATCAGGAGGAGGACTGTGGTCTGCTAGTGTGAGGACACGTTGTCCAACTCTCCACCAGTACCATCAGGAGGAGGACTGTGGACTGCTAGTGTGAGGACACGTTGTCCAACTCTCCACCACTACCATCAGGAGGAGGACTGCTGGTGTGGGGACACATTGTCCAACTCTCCACCAGCACCATCAGGAGGAGGACTGCTGGTGTGGGGACACGTCATCCAACTCTCCACCAGTACCATCAGGAGGAGGACTGCTGGTGTGGGGACACGTCGTCCAACTCTCCACCAGTACCATCAGGAGGAGGACTGCTGGTGTGGGGACACGTTGTCCAACTCTCCACCAGTACCATCAGGAGGAGGACTGCTGGTGTGGGGACACGTCGTCCAACTCTCCACCAGTACCATCAGGAGGAGGACTGCTGGTGTGGGGACACGTCGTACAGCTGTAGGGCAAGTTGGATCTCATTACACTGTAAATTGGCCACTGCTATCAACAGGACGTCCTGGACACCGTCGTCAACCCACGTTTTGATAACCATCCCCTCCCATCGTCCGATATTCATGGCTGGCTCACAGTTCTTGAGTCGTCATCACCCATTTTCAGAACAACGCCACCGAAACATAACCGCGTCCCGCAAGGAGCCCAGGTATGAATCTCATGGAACATCTTGGACGTCAATTTCGACCTAGACATCCCCCTGTTGAAAACCAGCAGGGATTAGTGCAGGCAGATGCTAAGGATTCGACGCTTTATTGGCAGTATGAGGACCAGACTAGCAGACTAGAAGTTATCCGTGCAAGGGGTGGCTAAAGAAGGTAGTGATGTAGTCTCAAATAGTGGTTCAAACAATCTCAACAGTCATTACTATTGAAGTGTGCTTTGTCATGGTGGCCCTATTTTCCAGCAGTGTTGATATTCACGTTTTAGTGTATTCAACTGAGATTGCAAGCAAATTGTCATGGTGGCCCTATTTTCCAGCAGTGTTGATATTCACGTTTTAGTGTATTCAACTGAGATTGCAAGCAAATTGTCATGGTGGCCCTATTTTCCAGCAGTGTTGATATTCACGTTTTAGTGTATTCAACTGAGATTGCAAGCAAATTGTCACAAAATTTCAGTTTCAGTTTTAGTTTAATCAGAGAATAATCCATATGTTACATTTACCATATTGATACCCGCAATGTGGTTTTCAAAGCATAAACAACAAGAAGTAGCGTTTTCGTATGTATGCTATAAACAAGTGACTGGTGCTTAATTATGATCAGGTGTATTATGGCTGATAACAATTACGGTGTCATTTTATATACCGTTTTTAACGATGTGAGTGAGTAATCTGAAACAAATATATTATGGCGTGTTTATACAACCTAACGTTTTGACCAACATCAACATAAAAACGAGAACAGGCGTACGATACCACATGCATTTGTAATTTACAATTACCGGATTGATATTCGCGAAGTTTCTTTCGCCAGAATATGCGAGCGAGAGAGATCCATGACCGTGAACATAGACAGCAAATCTGGCTTGAGGAACAGACGATACAGTGATGAAGTCGAACGTGACAGCAACATCTGCTACCATGTAGTTAGAATTGCCAACTGTAGCCCAGTTGGTGACGCGACTAGATTCAACCATCACGTTGCTGGTGTACTGTTCTTTAGTTACAACCGTTACTGTGTTGTTTGTCAGTCCGGGCACTTTAGGCACAATCATGTTGGTTTCAGTCACGAACTGTTCATTTGGTACTAGCACCACCATTGTAGGAAGTCCAGGCTCCGTGGCCTCCCTCTGTCCCGGCGATAATCTCACCACCATTACCGGCTTGTTGGAACTTAGGATTCTCACGTCACTGCCGCTGAAGTTCCTCTGAACCCACTGTCCTTTGTTAGGTAGAATTATTGGACTCTCGCCAGATATCGTTACAATGGTATTGGACTCACAGGTAATAAGTCGAAAATAATCTCCAGTTGTAATCCTTCCTGGAGTCCTGACAGCAACATATTGTTTTCCCCACGTGGAGACCGGGGGCATAGGCTTCAGGAGGAAACCGTCCCCAACACCCTGAATCGTCGTAGCACTACTTCCGCTGTACACGGCGATGTTAGTGTTGGCTGAGATTCGTGTTCCTGTAAGATCACCAGTGCTCTCCAAGTGAATCACCTGGTACTGGTTCAAGGTAATGCTTATCGTATCTCCGCCGTAGTAGGTGACTCCCAGGAACTCAACGGTCACACCACTGCTTCCACCATTTGCCAAAACAACTTCAGCAGTCGTGCCAATGTCCAAAGTAGCTATCTGCAGGTAACAAAACTGCCCCGCCGTCTCACAGTACGTAACCACATAATACTCGCTTCCTAAGGACGTGGTGGGGAGAGCCTGGTACAGTTCCCCTCTGTCACTACCAGTGTACCGTCCAAATATATTGACATTTTTATCCGAAGTCAGGCGAGCCATTTTAAAACTAGTACCACTTCCGTATATGATATTGGTATTCCCTAATAATATTTCATCATTCATCATCAGCAGTTTGGACGTGCCAGCTGACCCTGACTCGTACACTGTCAATGTCATGGACCCAGGGCCAACCACGTAGGGGCTCAGGGACAAAGAACCGTTATATCCTTTCATTTCAGGATAGATCAGCACAAACTCCTTGCCGACACTGGAGGTGGCACCTGAAACATACCGTACGGATATAGTTAATAATAGAAATAATTGGTATAGGTAGTGTCCCTGTTTGATATTTACTATCTATGGCAGTTCTGTCAATATAGCCTCTGTAACATAGACGTATGTTTGTGTATCTGTGTTTAAGGAAATCAGTTATAAAAAGGAGATGGTAATATTCAAGAGAATACATATCCGCTTCCATTTCAGAAAAGTAAGACCTTCTACCAACTGATTATATTTTACTATATTAACCACATTTTTACCAGAGAAGAAAAGTTCCACACAAGCCATGGCACCGGATTAACAATATGAATCCTAACTGTGAGTATAATTCACTGCATCCATGATTGTTGATCAGGGTTTCAATAATTCTGAATGTACAAGTTTAACATCTCTGTTTGGCAACTTACCTAATCGTAGCAGAGGTAGAAGAAATACAAGATGTAGAATCGCTCCCATTGTGGACATGTTCTGAAACAGCAACAAACCTGGTCATCTACCGTCTATGATCAGCAACAACTAACAAAGTAAATAGTAAAAGTGACTGCATCTGACATCGCGTCCCAGGAAGTAGTTTGGAGCACACCTGTTGAAGTGACTGCATCTGACATCGCGTCACAGGAAGTAGTTTGGAACACACCTGTTGAAGTGACTGCATCTGACATAGCGTCACAGGTATTAGTTGGGTACATATGTGCTGAAGTGACTGCATCTGAATATTTCTAAACCTAAATATGTTTCTAAACCTAGCGTTTCCTTTATTTGAAGATGTAATCTAGGCTCACTTCAGGAAGAAAGTTGATGGTAAATGCTCTCACAAAACTAGTGCCATTAGCAACATACTGTGAAACCCAACCACATTCAAAGCCAAACCTTTTATCTCTTAATAAACTTGTTGATAAATCAGTTTGTTTAAAAAACTAACTAATAAAGAATGCTATATTAAACCCATATATCTATTCGGTTTACTTCTCAAAATGTTAATCAAATATACTTTCCTTAGAAGTCGTACAATTATCAAAGGATAGGGACGCAATTTACCACAAACAAAGGGTGAAGGGGTTGTCATTTTCACGTATAACATGTTTCATAAATTTAAATGTGCCCTTTTAATAGAATTGGCAATAAAGCCCCAAATTCCACAACCATTTGGACAAATGTTTAAAGTAATCTCCACAATTGCTATTATCAACATAAGTTGGGCTTGTTATGCTTTCTAACGTCATTCCAAAAGTGACCCGTGAAGATCCGGGGTAGAATAGGTCTTCAGCAACCCATGCTTGCCACAAAAGGCGACACTATTCTTGTCGTAAGAGGCGACTAACGGGATCGGGTGGTCAGGCTCGCTGACTTGGTTGACACAGGGTCATCGGTTTCCAATTGCGCAGATCGATGCCCATGCTGTTGATCACTGGAATGTCTGGTCCAGACTCGATTATTTACAGACCGTCGCCATATAGCTGGACTATTGCTGAGTGCGGCGTAAAACTAAACTCACTCACTCACTCACTCATTCCAAAAGTGCTTTACACTTGGCCCCTGTGTGCACGTACATCACGTGCTATTCGTGCATGACGAGAAATATCATTGAGATAAGCCTCTGGGTTCTCTGTAACGCCACACTATTGTTCATGTACAACTCAACATTATCCCCTCTAAAATCATCGGTTCCTGTCAGTAGTGTTTTAACACTGGAAAAACGTTGTTACCGTGTAAATAATACTGTTGAGAGCTGATTTCTAAACTGAAACTCAGTGGTTTACACAGACATCTATTCGCACAGAACTAAATTGTGATACTTGTAAATGACGACACATAAGTAATCCCTAGGTTATACTGAATCATCGGTTCAGGTTTACAATGACAAGACAATTCTACTGGTCAAATGTTGCAGCAGCAATAGGTAAGAGGTCTTGGGCTAAATGTTAATGCACTCACAGAATATTCTCACTGTTGAGTGTCTTGAAAATGGGTTTTGTTTGTTGTTTAACGCTGCACTCAGCATTATTACAGCAATGAGACGGCAGCATGTGATTGTTGAGGTCTCGTTGGGAGTGAGTGAGTGAGTTGGGTTTTACGCCGCTTTTAGCAATAGTCCAGCAATATCACGGCGGGGGACACCAGAAATGGGCTTCACACATTGTACCCATGTGGAGAATCGAACCAGGGCCTTCGGCGTGACGAGTGAGCGCTTTGGCCACTAGGATATCCCACCGCCCCTGTCTCGTATGGTCAGTTCAGTGGCTGACATAACTGTGATACCATTACATGCATCAACAAAGTCTGCGAGCCAGAACTTTCGGTCCAGACCTTAGTCACCCCTATACGACAACCATACATTTAGGTTGCTGCACACAACCTCTACCCCGGTTCTAAAAGACATGGGAACGCCTTTCTTGTCTTGAATCAGCCTTTTAGAAACTGTCAATTCCAGGGGCCTCTAGAAGGAATTAGCCTGTCAGGTTCATGCACACAAGGACAGATAACTCTATTCGTGGTTCCTATTACCACATTACCACACAGACCCCGTGTGACAGTCATGTTAGGGTGGGTACACTGTCACTCTAATGATGGATCCAATTCAGAGAGAGATTTCCCCGTGTTGAAACAAGAACAAGGTTTAATTATGCGTGATAAGGGCTTCATGCGGATTATAATAGGTTTCCGGTCGTGTGTATATTTGTAGTCCATATTTTTGTGACCTTTAATCGAATCAAACCTCATAAAACCAATCTTGATTAATTTGCCGTGAATACATTGTCGATTGACACAGGGTCCTTTTTATTCAATCAATCGTCGAATAATGGTAATTTACCGTCCCACCATACAACGACAACAGCTGTGATCAATACGTTCCTGTTTTGTGTCATGAAGAATATCCAGGGACGAATCTGGTCATAGTTAAGCAGAGCCAGGTTTCTGGTTCCGACAACCCGCTCATGTTTACCATTAAAACCTCACCTGCTCAAGCAGAAGTACTCACAAAGCGAGAGGATTTGTAAACGTAATCTTATTAACAGAAAGTGCAAAGTATGGTTCTGCTTTTCATAATGTTTTTGTATCCATAGTACAGAAGTAATCCAGGATCTGATAACCATGTTTAAAGTGTTTTCCAAATTGACTGTGTTCGCACTCAGCAATAATCCATATATATGACCGGGGCCTGTGCATAACGGCTTCATTAGCAATCCCATGATCGACATTGTGAGCAACGATCTGTGTCAGGCAAACAACTCAATCCCCGATCCCCACCACAGATCGTTGCTAGCCTCCTACAAGCATAGGTTGCAATAGGGCTTCTGGTTTGTACATTATTCCACTGTTCTTTCAACATAAACCCTAACGACATTAATAATTTAAAACCTCGCAACAGAACTTTGCTGTAAGCTGAAGTAAACGACATTATCAGGTAGAAAATAAGCTCAATCATACTGCCACACTGTGCAACATGCTAGGATGCCCAGCCCTGTCTACACTGATTGGTGTGATTGGGCGCTGAGGCCGACCCACCACTGTACTCCTGAGATAGCTGGAGCTAGTAGTAGACAGCGCTTGGCTTCCCACCTTGCTACTGAAAACATTAAATGTTACAGTAAATGCCCTGTTGTAGGTTGTTTTAACGGAGTCAGTGCGTAGACTGCAATAAAATAGCTTTTGAATGGTATTATCATGACGTGAATAAATATAATTAATTCAGATCTTACTCACAAAACAATCAACTGAAAACATGAGAATATAATGGATGAGAATATGTGAGAGTTAATGAACTCAGATTGTTTGACCATAAATACTAATACTGACAGATACCTTGAAGAACTTAAGAGATTGATTATTTATAACTCAACCATATACTATATAATCTATTCATACCATGTTATACATCTGTTTAAATTCATGTTTTTGCTATCATATCAACATAGATTTCCGTATGGATGGTCTAATTGTTAATCTTTTAACAGGTTGCTCTTTTGTGTGTTTTACTTACACAGCTCTCATCAGATATTTCTGAGTCTGCTTCCCGTCTAGTTCTTACATTCTGTCCACTCCGACCTCTGTACGTCTGACAGATATTTCACCAGTAACCCGCCAATCGGCAAGTAATCGACAAATATATACCAGGATGCCTACCAAAGACATGCTGCATGCTGCCGACGACAGCAAGTTCCTGATATCTGTAACTAATGAGGAGCCTCCACAATCTTGACTCTTCCTCTTTTGGAGATGGTACCTTCAACACGTGACTTGTACTGTTTTACCAGATTTGTACAATCCATGCATTTGGCTATTGAAAGATGTTCCCTCTATGCTTTACTACCCGAGAAGAAGCAGACGTCATACATGGATTTCTTCAGACAATTTCTGAGATCAACTTGCAAACATTACTGTTTTTATTTATGAGACTGCTGCATGCCACTCCTATTGTATTTCAGAGCTTCAGAAAAGTTACCAATTCAATATCCAATCCATGTGGAAGAACGTTCAAGCATGCCATCTCCAAGCTGCCTTTTAGACTCTTCTTGCACCGTGCTGTTGCTGTTCCACTTGACGGACTGTGATGATGAGGACACTGCACGAGAGCACCAACGTGTGATAAATCGCTGGCGATATGATAGAACGTGGGTGGAAGGTGGTGAACGTCAACCACATTGACACTTTTGAAGGTTAACACTCCTAGGTAGCCATAGTATCAGACTGCCATCCCAACAACTACAAGTTTATAAAATTTTCACTAAACGTATCTTTCATGAGATAAAGAGTTTAAAGGGGACATCTGAATCAGATATATTTTATTGAGCGTCAGATGAGAATAACTTTTCTTAAATGATTGACCAAACCGCCCTGTTGTCCATCGCACCATTCACAATGAAAGGTAAAGGTAATTAATATCACCTGAATCCGCCTCTACTCTAATGACACGAGCGGATTCGACAAGGTATACTTCTAATCAAACGTCCAATGTCAACTCGGTTCATCCCATCTCATTCGTCCTGAAGGGCAGCCACACATTCGTTGAGGGTGGTTGGTGTGTGTCAGACATGTTCGATGGGTGGCAAGACTGGCCATGGTAGGATGGAACTTATGTCCTTTGAGGTTTCGTAATTGTATTGAAATGTCACTCCAGGGCCATTTGCAAAATTTCGTCTGTGTACCTCATAGCATTCAGTTCCACCCAGTCACCATCATTGACGTCCTTGCTGCAGCTATTATCCCACCACAGATCGTAATGCACCAACCTCCAAAAAGATCCCTATTCCAGAACGCATGGCCTGACGTAGACACCTGTTGACACTTGTCCTGCCGTCGGTGAAGAAGGAAACGTGACTCATTGGTGAAGAGAACTCTTCTCCTCTCCCATGTCAGGATGCCGTATACACGTAGACGTCGTCTAACTGTTCATGCAGATCCATCCCTGTTGCAAGGTATTGTACAGGCTGTAAGGGTTGCTCACTGGAACCTGTGTCGGATGTGTG